CTAGGTTCGATTCCGGTCAAAGGCATGTACCTGGGTTGTGGGCACATCCCCAGTGGGGGGTGTGCAGGAGGCAGCTGATCGATGTTTCTCTCATCGATGTTTCTGACTCCCTATCTCTCTCCTTTCCTCTCTGTAAAAAATCAATAAAATATAAAAAAAAAAAGTTTGAGGACCCCTGGCCTAGAGGGTTTCGCCTCAGCAACGGAGCTGGTCACTGAAGGGGTCGGCATTCTAAATGCAAAGGTGAAAACGAGGCCTCCAAGGGATCAAACTGCAAAAGATGTGCAAACAACCCCCTCACCAAATGAAGGACCGAACCCTTGAAACAACTGCAGCAAGAATCAGACCTCTGTGACATGCAGCATCAGCAATGCCTCGCTTTTAATCAGAAATTACTAAACACAGGATGGGCTCAAAGCCGCTTGGGGAACCTGTTCCGAGAGTTCTGCTGGTTCATTCTCTTTCTGGCTGCTGCATCCCCCAAAGGCATTGTTGTTTCCTGAGGCTCTGGGTAGTTTTCCTTTACATAATTAAGGGAATTCCCTTATTTTGAAAGGAATTCCTAATATAGTAGAATTTTTTTATATCATAAGCGAATCTTACCAAATACTTATTCTGCAGCTACTGCGATGATCATAGTTGTTTTTCTTTCATCTTTTAACCTGGGTAATTGCCTTAATTGACTTTCTAAGGTTAATCTCGCATCCAAATTGATAGATGTTGATTGCCAGCATGCACAGGCATGTACCTGTACATTATTACTTTTTAAAATATGTTTTACTGAGAGCAACATCAATGATGAGAGAGAATCATCAATCGGCTGCCTCCTGCACGCCCCCCACTGGGGATCAAATAATTAAGGGAATTCCCTTATTTTGAAAGGAATTCCTAATATAGTAGAATTTTTTTATATCATAAGCGAATCTTACCAAATACTTATTCTGCAGCTACTGCGATGATCATAGTTGTTTTTCTTTCATCTTTTAACCTGGGTAATTGCCTTAATTGACTTTCTAAAGTTAATCTCACATCCAAATGGATAGATGTTGATTGCCAGCATGCACAGGCACATACCTGTACATTATTACTTTTTTAAAATATGTTTTTATTGATTTCAGAGAGGAAGCGGGGAGGCAGAGAGAGAAACATCAATGATGAGAGAGAATCATCAATCGGCTGCCTCCTGCATGCCCCCCACTGAGGATCAAGCCTGCAACCTGGGCATGTGACCCGACTAGGAATTGAACCGTGACCTCCTGGTTCATAGGTTGAAGCTCAACCACTGAGCCACACCGGCCGGGCTGCATACACATTATTTCTAAGATTTTTGCATTTATGCTTGTAAGCAAAATTGCTTTGTAATTTTCTTTTCCATAACCATCCATATCTGGTTTGGGTATCAATGTTCTAGATGATGTCTTCATTTTTTTTCCCTAGAGTTATAATTATGTAAGTTAGTGTGAGATTTTAAAAATGAGTAATTACTCTTCTGAAGTAGTGAAAAATCATTATGTAATTATAATTGACGTGTCCATGATTGCAGGTCATAGAATCATCATTGAAAAAACTGGAGTGTCATCCCATTGAAATTGAAGAATTCGTGGAACATTTTACTTTTCTGGATGCAATTTCCTCCAAAATATCTAAATTAGAGAAAGAGTACTCAACCATTGGCCAGCTGTATTCCGTTCTGACTTACTACCAGGTCTATATTTCAGAAGAGCAAGTCGCCACCCATAAAGTCCTTCTGATCAGGTTCACTCAGCTGAAAAGTGCTGTGAAGCTAAGCAAACTGAACAAGGACGCCGCCGTTGGCAAGTTCAGAGACAACCTGGAAGCGTATGTCACCGATCTGAGGACCGACGCCAGTAATTTGAAGGCCAAAGTAAGTTTCCGTGTTTCGTGAGAAGTCAGCCAGGTCTTGGTCTCAGGTCGGCCTAAAGCAGGCCGGTGTTTTCTTCCTGTGGACTCTGAGGTCAGTGATTTCATCCACGGATTCCTAACCTGGAACCCCCAAACAGACTCTAGATCAGCCGTGGGCAAACTACGGCCCGCGGGCCGGATCCGGCCCGTTGGAAATGAATCAAACTAAAAAAAAAAAAAAGACCGTACCCTTTTATGTAACGATGTTTACTTTGAATTGATATTAGTTCACACAAACACTCCATCCATGCTTTTGTTCCGGCCTCCGGTCCAGTTTAAGAACCCACTGTGGCCCGCGAGTCACAAAGTTTGCCCACCCCTGTTCTAGATTATGCGTGAAGCTTGAATGGGCAGTGACAGTGCATGTCTGTTCTCACGAACCTCCAACTGAAATTTTGCTTCCGTTATGAAAATGTGTTTCCATTATGAGTGAAGGCAGACAGCAAACAGCAGCAAAGCTGGGTCACCGCAGGCTTCAGCAGGCTGCCCGAGGGGGTGGTGGGGCAGGGGGAAGGCATGGCATGAAAAGGGCAAAGAAACCCTTAGATCTTCCTGGGTCTTAGCCTCGGGCAGGGGTGAGGCACGTCTGACCCATGGGCCGTACGAGGCCGTGAAATCATTTGGTCTGGCCTTGCCAAGGCATTAGGGGTGAGTTAGTTAAATGTTTGACCGAATATAGCAGGTTAATTTTTGTTTAATTTCTTAAAATGATTACTATTTTTTTATTTTATTGTTGACAATAATACAGATGTCTCCCATTTCCCCCTCCCCTTTACCTCTCTCTGCCCAGCTCCTCTCCCCCTCCCCCCAGGTCTTCGCCACCCTATTCCTCCTGTCCATGGGCTGTGCGTATAAGCAGATAAGTTCTTTGGTTTCTCTCTCCTCATCCCCCCACCCCCACATGGAGGCAAGTCAGTCTGTTCCATGCCTCCATGCTTAGGATCTTGTTTTGTTGGTCAATTAGTTTTGTTCATTAGATGCCCCAAATAAGTGGGCTCATGTGGTATTTGTCTTTCTCTGGCTGACTGGTGTCACTTAGCATAATACTCTCCAGTTCCCTCCATGCTGTCTCAGAGGGTAAGCGGTCCCTCTTTTGAACAGCTGCATAGTATTCTGTTGTGTCAAGGTGCCACAACTTTTTTATCCACTCATCTACTGATGGGCACTTGGGCTGTTTCCAGATCTCAGCTATTGTGAGCAATGCTGCTATGCACATAGGCATGCGTACATTCTTTCTGATTGGTATGTTTTGGGGTTTGGGGGATATATCCCCTTGAAGTGGGGTCGCTGGGTCAAATGACGGTTCCATGTTTAATTGTGTGAGGAAACCCCATACCGTTTTCCACGGTGGCTGCACCAGGCTGCATTCCCCCCAGCAGTGAATTCTGTACGGCCCGCGAATGATGTTACAAACATCCAGGTGGCCCTGGGCAGAAGAAAGGTTCCCCACCCCTGGTCTAGGCCCAGTGGAAATGGTAGTTCCAGCCTCACTTACCACGAGAAGCAAACTGTCAGACACCGAACATTCACTGAGCGCCAGTAACCGTGCTAGGGGGTCCTGGAAGGAAAAAATAGTCGACTCGCTGCCGATCCGGTGGCATTTCAAATGAGCATCTTCTCCCTCAGCCTGCCTTCACTGTGTCCTCTCAAATTCCTCAGTAGCTGCTCTCGGGGCCTGTCCAGGGTTTATAGGTGTTTTATTGGGAGAGACGGGGTGGGGCCTGTTGATGCCCAGATCTGACTTCCATTGTATAACCTTTCAAACTATGTCATGTACATAGTGTTGACTGTGATCATTCAAACAGGATCTCTGTTTGAAGACTGCGGGTAGGAGTGGCAAAACTTGGCCTTGACTCCATGTAAGCTAGTAAGATTAGTCCAAGTATTCACTCCTCTCTCAAGATAACTCATTTATAAATAAGTATTAATGAGTGGGAGATTATGGGAGAAGCTCGCTAAGGAAAACATTTCTTACAACCCATTTTATATAGGCATCGCTGTTATAGATGACTAAATATTAAGCCTCATACATTATCACAGATATATAGTTCATCAATTTTATACTACTCGCTGTTACAGTGTTCTCAGTGTTGATTTGGTGACCACACTACCCATAACACAATATTATATGCAGTCCCATGGGTTGGATTTTTTTAAAGAATAAGGTGATAGGATCCAAATGAATTTGTTTTTTCAGGAACAATTTAATAAACAACTCCCACCTGCCTTTGATACAAAGGTATACAAAGACTAAACCAATGAAACTTTCCTTAATCTTAAGAAGTTGTTCATTTAGTAAGGAAAATCGGAGCAAACTTTTCCTCACACCTCTCTCTCTTTGGATGTCATTGTTGCAAATGCCCACAATGTCTTGTGCAAGAATAAAACTCTCACGCGAGGCAACACGTGACCAGCATCATAAAAGTGAGGCGCCCTTTACCAGGGTCAGGAAGTGGGAACGCGGGCCACACCCGGCACCGCCGCTGACCATCTGATGACGGGAAGGTTATTTACAACCTCACAAGTTCTTTGAAAAATTATACAAACTAGTAACTGTCTTTGAAGATGGTCTTATGGATTTAGTAAGCAAGGTAATGTGTTGCCACCGCGCCTGAAATGGAGAAGATACACAGGAAATTATAGATCTGATAGTAATAATAATCATGACAATGGCCCTAACTGGTTTGGCTCAGTGGCTAGGGCACTGGCCTGTGGACTGAAGGGTCCCAGGTTCGATTCCAGTCAAGGGCATGTACCTTGGTTGCGGGCACATCCCCAGTGGGGGTGGTGCAGGAGGCAGCTGATCCATGTTTCTCTCTCATCGATGTTTCTCTCTCTCTATCCCTCTCCCTTCCTCTCTGTAAAAAAATCAATAAAAAATGTTTAAAAAAATAATGACAATGAATCCTAACAAGCACAAGGAATCATACGCTAAAGGTAATCTCCCCAGATGGTGGTTGCACATGACGTTGGGCTGCGTGCTGAGACGCGTTCCGTGAGCGTGGCCACCTTCCAAGTGCTTTGACCTCTTGGCCTGTGTCCCTGCTCCTTTCCAGGTGAGGACGCCTGTCCTGTTGCACATGGGGACCCCGGCGTCCACCGCGATGGAGATGGTCCAGTCCTTCTCCCAGGAAGCCGCCACCCTCGCCAACAAGGTCCAGATCTGCGCCAACTACCAGGAGTCCATCAGCGAGGCCCAGTCGCACCTGCACCCCCTGAACGTGGAGGAGCTCACCCAGGCGGTGGCGGCCGACATCTCCGACATCGACTACGAGCTGACCTTGAGGAAGATCCTGTGGGAGGCGCAGGAGGAGTGGCGGGCGCTCTTCCAGGAGTGGCGGGCCAGCACCCTTCACGACATCGACATAGAATCGGTGCAGAGCAACGTGTCCAAGTGGCTGAGCCTGATCTTGGTCCTGGAAAAAGGTAAACGCGTCCTCCCCGTGGCGGCCCGCCCAGAGTTACATATAAGACACCCCCTGGGGCAGCAGGGTCACCCTCTCTCTCCCAGTCCCCACGATCTGACCGTTCGCGGCTGGAGAGACAGCCCAGGGCGCAGGTGGGATTATTTCCTGAAGCAAAAGAAAAGAGATGGAGATTTGGGCCCCAGATTTGCTTAACGTCATGAATAACAGTTTGCATCTCTTTGAACCCAGGCAGGGCCCCAGACACTTCCCGCTGGACTCCGGCTCTTCCTAGGGCCAGAGCTGGGAGGATGCTAAGGGCCCGCCCGCGGGGTCTGCACCCACATCCTGCGGACCCTCTGGACAGTGGGGACGCAGCTGAAAGTGACTTTGAGGGGGTCCCCTCTGCTCAGCATCACCAGGGAAATGGGTCAGTGCAGAGGTGCCATGCCCGTGCGAGCAGGTGCGCTGTCCTACCCGCTCCCAAAGGAAGCCTTTCACGCGGGAAGGGGAAATCAAGGCAGAATTTTAAATCCCTCCCTCACCTCTCAGCTGCACTCTAGACCAGTGATGGCGAACCTTTTGAGCTCGGCGTGTCAGCATTTTGAAAAACCCTAACTGAACTCTGGTGCCGTGTCACATACAGAAATGTTTTGATCTTTGCAACCATAGTAAAACGAAGGCTTATATTTTTGATATTTATTTTATATATTTAAATGCCATTGAACAACGAAAAATCAACCAAAAAAATGAGTTCGCGTGTCACCTCTGACACGCGTGTCATAAGTTCGCCATCACTGCTCTAGAAAGACACTTCAGATTGCTTGTGTTTAAATTTGCCAAGAAAGACAGCCCTATCACAAAAGTGTAGTCGAGACGGGAACTGGGAACACATGGCCTGCAGCCTCACTGCGTTCACAGATCACTCACCCCAGGCATCCTCGCTCCATATGTTGTGTGTGTGTGCAGAGAATAAGATACAAGCAAGTGGACCACACCTCCTTTTACCCATGGTTTCCCAGGTGAAATCTTGCTGTTTGTTTGCCAGCATCTAGAGTTGCACAATCCGAAGTTATTATCTTATCCTTTTATTTAGCCAGGTCTTGGACAACATTGCAATTATTCAACATGGCCTTATCAAAGAGGCCCCAGCTGTACAAATTGGAGATTTAAGAATATGGGTCCCAGCTTTGGCTGTTTCTCTGCCCCCTCCCTGTTCTTTATATATATTTTTTATTATTGATTTCAGAGAGGAAGGGGGAGAGAGAGGAGAGAGAGAGAAACATCAATGATGAGAGAGAATCATTGATCGGCTGCCTCCCGCACGCCGCCTACTGGGGATCGAGCCTGCCACCTGGGCATGTGCCCTTCACTGGAGTCAAACCTGGGACCCTTCAGTCCACAGGTCAATGCTCTAGCCACTGAGCCACACCGGCCAGGGCCCCTCCCTGTTCTTTTTAAGGGGCAGTAAAAAAATGTTCTAAGGGTCGAACCTGCACCTGCACAGGTTCGAGTCTTGTGTCTCAGGGGTGTCAGTGCCATGGCAAAGCTTTCACCTACATTTCAGCGTTAAAGTATCTTCCTTATGAAAAAATAGTGACTTTGTTTTTCCCTGTGATGTTGTTCCTTACTGAGCAGAATTTAAAAGCCCCAAACCTTTACAGTCTCTTTTTAAAAATATATATTGATTGCTTTCGGGGAGGCAGGGAGAGGGAGAGAGTTGGAAACGTCAATGATGTGCCCTTCACCAGGAAGTAACCGTGGCTTCTTGGCTCGTAGGTCGATGCTCAACCACTGAGCCACACTGGCCGAGCCCTATTACAGTCTTTTGAGTGCCAACGTGTGCCTGTCTGTCTGTCTGTCTGTCTGTCTTGTCAGTTCAGTCTACAGTCCCAGGGCTTTCTCAGGGAGCAGAGGCTTTCTATCCCTTTGCATCTGCAGGATGGTCAGCGTCTGTGGGCTCATCTGTTCACTAGCTGCCATGACAAGGTACCAGGAGCACAGCTGCCTTTGCAGGGAGGTTGCATCAAGTCAGCTGGACGCCCAGATGAGGTAAGCGAGAGGAGTTTGGACTAAAACAGAAACAGTGGCCCTGGCCGGTGTGGCTCAGTGGATAGAGCATCGGCCTGCGGACCGAGAGGTCCCAGGTTCGATCCCGGTCAAGGGCAGGTACCGTGGTTGCGGGCACATCCCCAGTAGGAGGTGTGCAGGAGGCAGCTGATCGATGTTTCTAGCTCTCTATCCCTCTCCCTTCCTCTCTGTAAAAAATCAATAAAATATATTTTTAAAAAACAACAACAACAAAAAACGGTTGAAATACCACCGATGCTGATTTTAAGCGAGCAGGCACATCTGCAGGGATCGGGAGTTAGAAAAGGGAGGAATTCATGGAACGTCTGGTTGAAGGTTTTTCTATTTTTGCGCCTGGCTTACCATAAGCTTCATTGATGTTTCGTGATCCAGTGTTGACAGTCTCTAATGAAATCAATCACAGTATTTTATGCCTGTAATCTTCTAAATGATTTGCTGCAATGAGGAAATGGGGGGGGAGGCGTGTCACAAAGGCCCCTCCACGCAGCCGGTGGTTGGGATGGAACCCCAGCGCATCCGACCTTCACTGTTTCCGCTGTCCCCACCGCGTGTTCTTGGCAGTCTTGCATTTTCGATGTATTCGGAATGATCTGCTTCACTGACATTTAAAAACCATGACTTTCCCTCCCAGATGTGTCAGTATGAAAATGAAATCAATGACATCTCAACCTCAGCCACGCACGAAGCTGCCCTTGAAAAGCTGCTGTTTAAGATCATCGACCTGTGGAAGACGACCCCTTTGCACTTGGTCCTTCATCACACGGAGACGGACGAGATCCTCATCATTTCGTCTCTGGATGACTTGCTGGCCCAGCTGGAGGAGTCGCAGGTCATGCTCGCCACCGTGAAAGGGTCCTCGTATAGCGAGCCCATCAAGGTAGGTGGTGGAGCCCGGGGACCTGCTGTCATGGTCCGCCCTTTTGTTGGTCACGTCACATTTTTGCCATCTGGGAGCGTTGGATTGGAATAATGCATTGAAATATATCAAAATGGACCGAATAGCGGATAAAAGGCTAAAAAAATAACTTTTTATGGAAACGTTCGCTGTTCATGAGGAATTGTCAGAACGGTTCATCGGGGCAGACGAGGTGAATTTAGGCAAGAGGCAAACAGGAGCCCACAAGCCGGGACGTTCCCAGCAGTGCCGCTGCCGCTGCCAATGCCCACTGGCCCCCAGTGCCCATGGCCGGACCATTGCCCTGTCATCTGCGTGCTGGAGAGGAACGCCTCATTTTAATTCCCTGTGTTATTGCTCTTTTTTTAAAAAAAATATATACGTATTTTTATTGATTTCAGAGAGGAAGGGAGAGGGGGAGAGAGAGAAACATCAGTGATGGGAGAGAATCATTGATCGGCTGCCTCCTGCACGCCCCCTAGTGGGGATCGAGCCTGCAACCCAGCATGTGCCCAGATAGGGAATCAAACCTGGGACCCTTCAGTCCACAGGCCGACGCTCTATCCACTGAGCCAAACCAGCTGGGACTGCTATTGCTCTTACACAGGGCCATCCTGGCTTTATGCTTGTGTGTTCCTGTAATTATTTCTGCACCAAACAGCAGCCTCCACATCTATTCTAGTGTAATTTGAAATTAAACCACAGAGCTTGTATTTGGTGTTCTCTGATAGTCCTTCCGGGGCAGCCTCCATCCAACAACATAGATGAGAATCATTTAAACTTCAGGAAACTCTACAAGATGTGTAACAATCTAGAAATATTTACTAGTAAAATTAACAAAATTGATTATAGATAGTGTGAAATATCTATCCAACAGATGGAATTCAC